AAAAAGCATTTATTACAGTGGCATGTCATACCTTAAAAGTATGTCCAACCCCACCCACATAGGTAGTCACCTATATAGACGTACGTTTCCCCTAACAGTAAAAAGCATGGATCAGTAAAGTACAATTACTATCATGGTATACAGCATTGCTGTAGTTCATAAATACCACTACTGTCAATCATCATATCCATTATAATTATTTTGAAGTTTTTTATACAGTTTTTAATACCTTAATTCTTGTCGAAGGATTCCATGCCCAATGATAAAATGCAATTTTTCTAAATTTGATGTCGGCCTGTCCATTAACATGGAGTTACCACCGTACTCGTTTGGTTCCCCATCTTGTAACTTTTGATAAACTTCCTCCGTTAGTTTGGATTTCTTCTTCAGAGTCAAAGATATCAGCTTCTTTCTGACGCTATTCTTTCCTTTTGCATTCATCTGAGAAAAAGAATGATTATATAAGACAGTATGAGGAATTAACTCTGTAAACAGAAATACAGATTAAATTTACAACATCGATGAACTGACCAAATTTAAAGGCACATAACTCTTCAACTTGATATTTTTGTATTTTAGGATTATCTGCTGCTAAAGCTGTATTATCTGTTAAAACTTATTAGAAGTTTTCATCATATGTAGTGAAATTAGAACCAGCAATTACAGTGTTCAGGAGTTGCGTCTGTTTTTTTTTTCCGGAATACCTAATAATCACAACACACAGCATTGCTCAGAATCCCACTTTGAAACATGCTTAACACAATATTCCATATTCATTTGGACGCAGTCACAACGAATGCTCTGAAATCTTATATAACGGTTAAAAAAGGACAGGATAATTGGTGGAGAATTGGGTGGGTGTTTTTGACAAACAAATCCCCTGACTTGCTTCTTATCAAATATGGTTACATTTGATATAAGGCATATACTACTTATACGACAAATGACACAAACAAAATATATCCCATAATACACAGCTTATCTCTTAATTAAATGTAAGCATATCAGGGGGTTTTCTAGAAAAAATGAACAAGTAGGAAGCACACACAAGCGGATCGACCTGGAAACGCCATATCAGAAGGTGCCGTTTTAACAGTGTATCTATCACCATTGTAATTTTAGTGTATTTGATGTCCAGACACATTGTCAGCTGGTGTTACTGGGAAGTTTTCACGAAGAAAAATAATTTGAGAAAGATTTCATGTTGTACGGCAACACAGTGCACGACTCAAAAAAATATATTTATGACTTAAAAAAAGTTCAATCTGCAATGCGCTGTGCCACTGTTCCCCGGTTTAGAAAAAAAACTGTAAATCATCATTAATTCGGACAAAGTCTAGCATCATTTAGTCATAACATGCTTTTAAAATCAAAGAAAACTTAGAAAGAACTACCATGTGCTGAGAGTATTGGAGACACATTAAATATAATTTGAAATTACTTAGCTGAAAACTAATTATGCAAATTAGAAAATTAACATGAACAGATTTGATTGTAAAACTAATGAGGTCTGCGCAATGTAACAAAAACTCTATGTACCAAGTTTAATTGAAATGTGATTAGAACCAAAAAATTATGAATTATTATGCTAATTAGGGAAATAATATGAACAGAGTTTTACCCCAAACTAATTAGGTTTGTACATTGTCCTTGAGCATCTTTGTACTAAGTTTCATTAAAATGGAAATTAGTACTTTAGATATCAGTGTGAAAGCTTAAAATTGGTTAATTATGCAAATTGGGTAATTAATATGTACAGATTTTAACCCACAATTATCCAGGTTTGTCTATTGTCCTACAGCACCCA